CTGGGAGTGTATTCAGGAGTGAAGCTTCCTAAGGCTCTGCCACCCTCGCCTGCTTTTGAAGAGCTAATGTCTGTGATTGTGTCATGCTCCAAGCAGATGAAAGGTGGGGAACAGGCTCTAGTTCCTCTTTAATCCTCTGCCGGGCCTGCTCCTGCTCTGGCATCATACTGTGTTCAGGGTGGACCTGCCGGTTTCTGCCCTTCATCTCCCCAGGCTCCCTCCTGGGTGCAGTGGGAGCCTGGCAGGGCTGGAGGTGCGGATCCTGGACCGAGCTGATGAGTACTGGAAGTGCTAGTTTGCAAGAGAGGAGGTGAAACAGGTTGGAGCAAGGCCCAAACTGGGCTTATAACCTGAGGTCTTGGGGAAACGGGGTGAGGAAGAGGTAAAGGCAGCTCCTGGGGAGGGTGCTGGTGGGAGTGGGGTAGGAAAAAGGCCAGCAGCCAAGAAGAGATGACAGCAATAGGGAAATGGGGTGCTTTTCCTCAGCCTCTTCTGAAATAGCCACTGATCGCTGTGGGAAAATGTACTGAGACACAACAGGAGAAACTGGTGGTGGTGAGAAACCTGTGAACAGCAAAATGCCTGGGGCTGAGAGCAGCTCAGGTGAGCAGAGGTATGGGCACAGAGAGACAGATGCAGAGCTGCTGGACACAGGGCAGTCGGGATGATTTTCATGCTCCACAGCCAACCAGAGGTATGCTGCTAGTTAACGCTTGGCAGGGCTTTTTCTCCTTTCTTCCCATTTCACTTGGTGTTTTGGGTAACCAGCCCCTCAGTAAAATGAGGCTGAGCCTTCCACAGCCCTTCCTGATGCCTGTCCAGCGTGGGGCCATGGTGTGCACAGCCACGCTGCAGGCTGCTCCAGCAAGGCTCCATTTATCCCTCCTCTGGGACGTTACATGCTGGAGAAAAGAATGTGGTGCTGGGCAGGGACAACTGCAAGCATTACTCACTGCTCCCAACTCCAGTGAACACGGGGAGCACAGAGTGGTTTCTTCTCAAGAACGTCGAGTGCTGGAAGAGAGGGGATTTTTTAAAGCACAGTTTCTCTGCCATGGAGTTTCAGAGGGCTCAATTCACCCCTCATTGTTTCACAGAGGTGGGGAAATGCTGAGAGGCCTGTCAGGGAGGGGAGTAGAGGAGCCATGTCCTGGCTTTGTTAGACTCAAAGGAGAAGTTGTGTAGGGAATAATCAGTGATCTATCTCCTCCTCTTCTCCAGCACACAAATAGCCAGGGGTTGTGGGGAGAGCAGAAACTTTAACATGTCCACCCATGGGCCAAGCTGAGTGTATCCCCCTGTCTGGCTCAGCCACGGTTATGTTCCAGGATTCCTCAGGCTGCAGAGACAGCAGGATTGGCTCTAGATCCTTCCAAGGCACCCAGCCCTTTCCTACCTCCCTGTAGCTGCCCCAGGAGACATGGCTCAGCTCAAGAGAGCTGAGCAAACATATTTTACACCCTTTCTTCCCTCAGAGTTCCCAACTTTCCCTCCTGCTGGAGACAGTCGCTGGCACCTCACCTGCAATTAGCTGATGACCTGGAAAGTCACCTCACTGAGCTGCTTATGGAATCAAGCCACCGCCGGGAATTAGTGATGTCCTTGGCAAAGGAGATGGTTGCAGCTCTCGGGATTTAGCCCTGAAGGGCCTCATTGTCTCTCAGCTGTGTCAGGGACAGTTGACCAGAAACGGTCCCTGGATGGGGAGGGTCCTGTGCTCTCATTAGTGAGCACGTGCTCCTCCAGGAGAGGTGCCAGCTGGCTGTGTGGAAAAATCCCAGGGAATCTCAGAGCATTCAAACTCAACTGGCCTCCTTGCAGAAGTCTCCCTGGAGGATGCAAGGCACCAGCTTTAGAAAATGGCCATTCCAAGGTACCCATTCGGAGATGGGTCTGTGGTATCGGCTGTGCTCAGAGGAAGAGCGGTCTTGGTCCCCGAAGTCATTCTTTGCAGGACTGCTGACCTGGAGCCTGCCCTGACTTGCATTATACCCATCTGTAATCCACTTTAGCAGGCCTTACAGTATTAAAACCTATCAGGGATTGAGAATCACTTCCAGCAGTGGAGCTAGCAATCCAGCCAAGCATACCGAGTGCTGTGGCTGCTACAGCATGTCTGGGCTTTAGTCAAGTTGACAAAAAGATGTTCAGGCTGTATCGGTCTTAAGAAGAATCAGAGGAGACAACTGAGGCAAGACTTTCCAGAGGAAAAAACATCAAATCCCCAGGACAGACTGGCCTTGAACGTTAAGATATTTTGTTTTAAAATACCTTGATAGTGGTATTAATTTGTTTGCCTTTCTGGACTGGGACAGCATGATATGTGCCTTGCCTTGTTTGGGCTAGGAAAATGTATATTGATTGTAGGATGACCAAAGTCTACCCACATGAAGAGCATTCCTGAGGCACAGCAAGGAAGGTTTCCTCTATCACTGTCTGGCCACCTCCCAGGGCCATGAAGAGAAATGCCAGAGTTTGATGTAGATGTTCAATTCCTTCCTCCTTTACTGCCCACTTCTGCCTCATGCTCAACCTCTGTGTCTGATCTGCACCAACACACTGCTCATTTATTTGGTGGATCACAAGTCCAAATGCAGTTTCTCTTACAAATTCTCGTTTCTCCTCAGGAGCCCCTTACACCACCCTCTGTTCCCAGTCCTTATTTGGGGTTGTCAGCTGCTCTGTGGTCGCTGTATGCCCCCAGGCTGGAGGGAACCCATGGCTACTCTAAATGCCAGCTGCTCCAGCCACCCTGCCTCTCTGAGCAGGGCCTTCAGTCTGCCTTTGGGACTCACTGATGGTTTTATCATTTGCATTGGAAATGCAGGTCTCCTCCACCCTGGTCTCTGCTTTCCCTGGTGACTGGAAATATGGTAGGTTGGTATTTTTCCCAGATGTCAAACAAGTCAGTCTTGACTGAAAGGCCTCCGGATTTAATTTCTGATGAAACACATGACAAACAAAGCAGGTACAGATCCTCTGCAGAGGCTGTCTCTCATCTAAGAGCTAAAAATGGTTTTCCTCTTTGACTCCAGAGCTCTCTCACAAGCCTAGAAGCAAAATACATAATCAAGACTTGAGGCACTTGCTATTTCTAAGTGAAACCCCCAATTTACCCTTAATGTAATTCACGGCCTTAAATGGCAACAATCAAGCAGGAAGAAAATAGCAATTTATTCATCTTCCTTTATGAGTCATCTTTAAAACACATTTTCTATGAACAAAATTCCTGAAGCATACACGTAACTGGAAATTCCAGCACTCTGGTCCTGTCTGTACTTGAGGTTTGGGACAGGAGCTATGTAGAGCTACACTGCTGGAGCCAGCTGCTGTCCTTGGACAGGCCTGTGTGATGGCTGTGGTCACAGCAGCAATCACAGCAGCAGTCATTGCAGCCCTGGGTGATTGATTCTGCATGGCCCTCTGCACATCAGTGAAGGGTTAGATGGGATATTGGGAAGAAATTCTTCCCTGTGAGGGTGGGGAGGCCCTGGCACAGGGTGCCCAGAGATGCCATGGCTGCCCCATTCCTTGGAAGTGTCCAAGGCCAGGCTGGACAGGGCTTGGAGCAACCTGGGATAGGGGAAGGTGTCCCTGTCCATGGCAGGTGGTGGAACAAGATGAGCTTTTAAATTCCAACCCAAACCATTCTAGTATCCCATAGCATGTCCCACAGCAGTGATTCTGCCCCTGTGCTCGCAACTGGAGAGGTCACACCTTGAGGGCTCTGTCCAGTTCCAGGTGCCTCAATCCCACAAGGTCATTGCGGCACTGCGGCGTGTCTGGAGAAGGGAATGGGGCTGAGGAAGGGTCCTGAGCAGCAGGAGCGGCTGAGGAAGGGTGTTGAGCACCAGGAGCAGCCAAGGAAGGGTCCTGAGCAGCAGGAGCAGCTGAAGAAGGGTCCTGAGCAGCAGAAGCGGCTGAGGAAGGGTGTTGAGCACCAGGAGCAGCCAAGGAAGGGTCCTGAGCAGCAGGAGCGGCTGAAGAAGGGTCCTGAGCAGCAGGAGCGGCTGAAGAAGGGTCCTGAGCAGCAGAAGCGGCTGAGGAAGGGTGTTGAGCACCAGGAGCAGCCGAGGAAGCTGGAGGGGGCTCAGCCTGGAGAAAAGGAGGCTCAGGGGGACCTTCTTCTGTACAACTCCCTGACAGGAGGCTCCAGCAAGATGGGGGTCGGGCTCTGCTCCCAGGGAGCAATGGGCAGGATGAGAGGAAATGGTGTTAAACTGTGCCAGAGGAGGGTCGGGATGGACATCAGGAAGCATTTCTGCACAGGAAGGTTTGTCAGATACTGGAAGGGGGTGCCCGGGTGGGTGGTGGAGTCACTGTCCCTGGAGGCGTTTAAGGAAAGCCTGGACATGACACTAAGCGACACGGTGGTGTTCGGTCAAAGATTAGACTCGACGAACTCAGATTTCTTTTCCACCGTGAGCGCTCCCGGCGCTCCCTCACTCCACGGACCCGCCGCTCCCTCCATGGCGGCGCCGCCCTCAAGATGGCGGCGCGGGGCGGCCGCGCCGCGCTCAAGATGGCGGCGCGGGGCGGGCGCTGCCGCGGAACGGGTCATGGCCGCGCCGGAAGAGCCGTGAGGCGGCCGGGCCGGCGGGAGCGAGCCCGGGACGCGGCCGCTGCCAGCGGGGCCCGGCGAGGCGGCGGTGGCGGCCGCGGCGGGACCGCGCGGCTGCCGCCATGTTGCGCTGCGGAGAGGTGAGTCGGGGCTTGTGGGGCTGAGCTCGGCCCCCGCTTCCCCGCCGCAGCGGCCCCTCGGGGCGCCGGTAACGGCGGCTGCCGCGGGGCTGCGGGAGCCCGGAGCCCTCAGGGCGGGAGCCGGGCTCGGGGGCACGGAGAGCGCTCGCTGGCGGGGCCGGACCGCCGGGGTCGCCCTCGGCGGGTGAATGCCGGGGCTGATGGGGGCTGTGAGGTGCAGCAGCCCCGCTTCCCCTCAGCGGTGCCCTGGCGTTAGTGCCGGTTTGCGCTCTGGTTTCGCCGTTAAGGAGCGAGTGGGTTGCACAAGAGCTGGGGGTGATGTTGGGCTGCAGTGTTGGTGTGTGTCTGTATGTGTAAACAGATATATATAGCCGTATATATATGTATATATGCATGGTTATGTAATTCTAAAGGTTATTGAAACGGGTGGCGCGTGGAGGAAGGATGTAGAGGGAGATTGCTGTGATACATTTAGGAAAGGATCATGGACTGTTGCTTTTCCAGTTGCAAAGTAAGTACAGTGAATGGAAATGTTAGCCAACGGTGAAAGACCAAGTGAAAGTGCCATGATTTTGTGTGAAGTTTTGCACTACCTCAATATTCTCCTTTTATTTTTCCTCTTTTTTTTTTTTTTTTTCTACTAGGAGGTCGTAAGTGAGGAGAGCGAGGAGGAAAGCAACGGAGTCAACTTGATGGAGTTCTCAGATGAGATCCTTCTGCACATCCTCAGCTATGTCCCTTGCACAGACCTGGTCCTCAATGTCAGGAGAACCTGCAGGAAACTTGCAACACTTTGCCTTGACAAGAGTCTAACACATACAGTCCTGCTTCAGAAGGACTATAAGGTGGGGAGAGTAGCTTGCTTCTTCTGTTAGCTGTGAAGACAAATCTGACGTCTGAAAAACAATGCCAAGAAGTAGAACTTTCCAATGTTTATGGATAAATAGGCTGCTCCTGAGCTCTGAAATCAAATACACAGTAAGCTGTTTTATAAAAGCATTTATTTTCCAGTATGCTTTGTTAAAAAAGCTCTGTGCTCCCTTAGTTCTATAAAATACTGTCAGTGAAGCTTAACTTCTCCATATTTCTGGAAGCTAAAATGAAAGTAAACATGACCTTAAAGTTACCATTTTCCCGAAATATGTTTTCCATGTTGTTGTGCAAAAAAATCTTGTGCATGTTGCTGTTAGGCATGCAGTCAGCAAAGCCAGAAATTGTGTGCATGTTATAACAAAAATAAAGCTTGGGAAGGAAGGGTGATATATTCAATGAGAACTGTATCAGCTAGTGCAGGCAGGGGAAAGCCCCCTATGCTCATTTTCAAAAGAGGAAACTGAATGAAGAAGAATAGAAACATTCTTCTTTCAATTTGAGTTTCTGCACATAGGCAGTTCTGCCAAAATAGTTTTGCTGGTAGAAAATTGAGGTGGTTTTCCCTTCCACTCTCAGCTGCTGAACAGTCTGTAATGCAAAACTGCAGAAGCAAAAGGAAGTGTAAATCTTAAGAGCCCAAAGCATGGCAAAGTGAGCTGCCAGCAGTGTGGTAATTCTTAGGCTGTGCTGCCATCCCCAGACCTTTGGATGAGCCACGTAATCCAAGTACCAGCCACTCTTATCCCCATCTCCAGCTGGGAAACTGAGTCAGTGGTCACTACTGCTGTATCTCTCACTGAACGTGGTTTTGTTTGGGTGCAGGTAAACAAAGACAAAGTGAAGCAGCTGATGAGGGACATTGGAAAGGAGATCTACCAGCTGAACATGGCCGGGTGCTACTGGCTGCCCAGCTCCACTATCGACCACGTTACACGGTGCAAGAACCTGGTCAAGCTGAACCTGTCCGGGTGCCACGTCACCTCTCTGCGGCTCTCCAAGATGCTCTCCACGCTGCAGCACCTGCGCTCCCTGGCCATCGACGTCAACCCGGGGTTTGATGCCAGCCAGCTGAGCAGCGAGTGCAAAGCCACTCTCAGCCGCGTCTCGGAGCTGAAGCAAACCCTTTACACGCCCTCGTACGGGGTCGTCCCGTGCTGCACCAGCCTTGAGAAACTGCTGCTCTACTTTGAGATCCTCGATCGCTCGCGCGAGGGGTTTATGCTCTCTGGGCAGCTGATGGTGGGCGAGAGCAACGTGCCCCATTACCAGAACCTCCGCATCTTCTACGCCAGGCTGGCTCCTGGCTACGTCAATCAGGAGGTGGTGAGGCTGTACTTGGCAGTGCTGAGTGATCGGACACCTGAGAACCTCCACGCCTTCCTCATCTCTGCCCCCGGCAGCTTTGCGGAGACGGGAGCCACCAAAAACCTCCTGGACTCCATGGCCCGAAATGTACGTCTGGATGCTTTACAACTGCCCAAAGCCTGGATTAATGGCTCTGGGCTCCTGCAACACTTGAAGTTCAACAACCCTTTCTACTTCAGCTTTAGCCGATGCACCTTATCTGGTGGGCACCTGATCCAGAGGGTCATTAATGGCGGGAAGGATCTTAAAAGCCTGACCAGTTTGAATCTCAGTGGCTGCGTTCACTGCCTGGCCCCGGAGTCCTTGTTTCGGAAAGCAGAAGATGACATTGACAGCAGCATTTTGGAAAGCTTGGTAGTGTCTTGCTGCAACCTGAGGCACCTGAACCTCTCTGCAGCTCACCATCACAGCTCTGAAAGCATAGGGAACCACCTGTGCCAGCTCCTGTCCAGGCTAAAGCACCTGCTCTCATTAGCACTACCAGTTTGCTCCATCACAGATGTTGGTGCAAGCGTGGAGAAGCCTCCCAGCACACCTAATTTGGTGCCCCAAACATTTGGAAGGAAAGTTCGGATTGGGATACAGACATATCCAAGGAACTTAGGGGACCAGGCAAATCAGAAGATCGAGTCTTCAGTGTTTTGGGCTCTGATGGGAAGCCTCCGATTTTTGGAAACCCTGGAGATAATTGGGTCCAGTTTCTCCTCTGCCATGCCCCGCAACGAGCCAGCGATTCGGAACTCGTTGCCTCCCTGTGTCCGGGCGCAGAGCGTGGGGGATTCAGAGGTGGCTGCCATTAGCCAATTGACTTATCTGCAGAGCCTCACCTTAGCACAGCTGCCAAATATTCTCACAGGCTCTGGGCTCGTCAACATCGGGCTGCAGTGCCAGCACCTGCGGACTCTTTCCTTGGCCAACCTGGGCATGATGGGCAAGGTGGTCTATATGTCTGCTCTCATGGACATGCTGAAACACTGCAAGTGTTTGAGAGATCTCAGGTGAGGGGCTGTCCTTGAACATCTCCCATTTTGTTTGTGGATCTCCAGAAATGTGATGTGTGGTTTACTGTGGCTACTATTAAAAGCGTTCCGGTCCAGAGTAGATGCAATGGCTTGAAAAGTGGCTTTTTCCTTCCTGACTTGTGGAGAATGGGAAGGCATTGCATGTTGTCCTTGAGGGCTCAGGATGTGCCCTTTAACCAGTGTTTTGGAGCAAAAAGTGCTGTGACTGCCTTCCTTTTAGATAAAGAAGAGTCGCATGCTGCTTATTTGGGAGCTAGCAGCTTGTCAGGGCTGGTTAAATACTACGTGCCTCTGCTGATTTTTTTGGCTTTGTGTACATGCACACCTCTTAAATTTCCAGGAAGGGACTCTTACACTGTCTAGATAATGTAGAGTTTTCCTTGGGTTTCGCAATGAGATATTTGTCTGCCTTGGGTTTGTATGAACATCTCACCTCTTTATTTTTTTATTTGTTTTCTTTATAATGTACTGAAAGCATTCCTGATTTAGAGTTTGTCCTGTTGGTGTTCCTCTTCTGATAAGATTTAAAGGATCCTACCAAGGATCTGATCCTAAAGAGTACCCAAAGGAGCTTTATGGTAGCCAAAATGTGCTTGTGAAAGGAAACTGGGATGGTTTCCTTGCACTTGTCTATATGAACACAAACGTTATCACTTCAGAGAGATGAGTTTTTTCTTTTTTTTCCTTCTTTCAAAATCACCCTCTTTCAGTGAAACTGCAGAACCTGTCAGTCTCATCCCCCTTTGTTCACAAAGCTCCAAAGTGCTGTGCAGTTGAGACAGCAAGATCACAGTTACTGTGGCTGAAATTACTGTTCATCACCTGAGACTGGTGCTTGTGTGCCTGTCCCTGACCCACTGCAGTAGTGAGGGGGGCTAAAACACCTCAGGAGGATTTTTCTTTTCCACCACTTCCCATTTATAACAGGGGAGGAGCGTGCTGGTCTCTCATCTGAGTTTGGTTGCTCAAGGTCTTGGGTTATTGAGTGTGTCTTTAACCTTGAGGAGGGTAAATAGCCACGGAGGAACTGAGGGCTGGGGAAGGAGGTTTGGGTGTGCAGTGCTGCTTTGCTCATCCCGGGCCCTGTAGCTTCCTGAGGCTGTGAAATGGAGGCCAAGAGCGATGGAGATGGGAGCAGCACAGAGCCTGTAATGAAGGCTGCAACAGGGCTCTCTCCTTGTACCACATTTGGGTGGAAGCTGTCACTCTTCTTCCCTGAGTAAAATCTAAGGTTTTATATTGGCCTAAGATGGTGTTAGAAATCAGCACTTCCTCTTGATAACGTAGTTTCCTTTTGATCTGACTAATTCCCTGCTGTTTCCGCCCTTTTTTTCCTTCCCAGTTTTCCAGGCCGAGGAACAAGTTTAAGGGGCTCTTCCAAAGCAGCATTGCCATCTAGCGAGTGCAGGGCGGCACTGCCGGTGTGGCTGGTGCATCCCAGAGATTCACCTGGAAACCTGGATCCTGGACATTCTGTGCTTTTTGTCCTAAATTTACAGTGCCCCAGTAATGATGCTGAAAAAAATGAAGAGGCTGCCCCTTCTCTTAATATGAATTTTAACTTATTATCCAAAGTGTAGCTATGCTCTTAGGATCTCTTCAGGCAATGCCACCCGAGAGCAGTTGCAGGCTGAGACTGAAACAGAATTTATCAATTAACAGGATTAAGTGCTGAGATACCCCTGCATACTACAAAGCCTGTGCAGAGATTACCCAGATCAGGTTGGGCCCGGCAGCTTGTTATCACCTAATGCATTAACCTTCTTAGAGCTCTTGGCTTTCCTGACCCAATGACTGAGATTCCCAAGTGCTCTGCAGCCTGGCAGTAAATCTGCACTAAGCAGATGAACTGTCCTGGTGGCACAGGCCTCAAGCAGGTTCAGCTCCCTGCAGGCTGGCTTCTGTGAGGCAGTCACCCACTTATGCTGCTGGGTAAAACACAGACCCCTTGTTGGCCAGGTATGGCTTCACTGTGTCACTTTATTGTCCTCCTGGATCACCGTGATCGAGGATCCTGTCTCTCTTCCCTGAGCCAGGTGTTTAAGGTAAAAGTTGGGTTGATGATGGTTGTTCTTTCTGTGGGAGAGCAGTAGCTCTGATGCTTTGCCAGGGCTGGCTGTGGTCGCTGTGTTGGCCCAGTTCTGCACCAGGCTGTGTGCACTGTGTGTTTTTCATGCCTGCTTCTCCCCAGGCAGTAAAGTGAAGATATGACCAGTTTGGGCAGTGTTTGTACACTGGAGCAGAAGGTCCCTAAATCCACGCCACCTGCTTGGTGGATATCAGGTACAGAAGCCTGGCTGTACTTTTAAGATGAGAATGGCTCTCCTGCTTAGACCCAAGGCTTGTCTTACCCACCATACACTTGCAAAACCAGGGTTACTCCAAGGTCACTCCCTGTGGGCGCCACAATTCTGCACTTTAGGGCTTTCCTGCCTCTTTGTGCCCTTGTGCTTCAGGACTGGAGGCACTGCTCCATCCATTTGCCAGCCCGCCATGAATGTGTTGTGTCTTTCCCTCTTGCCTGAGAGCGCCCCAGGCATGAATTGCCCATTGAGTTGTTTTTGTTTATTCCTGCAGGCTGGAACAGCCGTACTTCTGTGCGGGCGCCCAGTTCTTCCAGGCACTGAGTCACTGCTCCTCTCTCCAGCGGCTTTGCATCGTCTCCCGGAGCGGGACTCTGCAGTCTGACGCAGTGATGTCATTCATGGCCAGCTGCCTTGAGGTCATCATGTGCCACATGTTTATGGGAGAATCTCTTACCGTTTGCAAAAATCTCCAGCAGTCCATTGTCCGGAGGTGAGTGCGGAAAACGGTGGATGTGGGATTTCTGGAGCTGTTGGAGATTTATCTCCATCCTCTGCCTTGCCAAGGTTTATATGGCTTGGAGCTCTTGTTCCAAGGAGCTAATAGGTAATGTGTAACTGTTTGGCACATAAGCCAGCCTCTTACTTTAATAAGAGTGAATCAGTGAAATATTTGAAGGTATTATATGAATTCTTGATTCCATTCCCACCCATGTTCTCTGCAGTTCTGCTGGCCGAGTTGAAGTTCTGGATGCAAAGCTCCATCATAAATCAAATGACACTTTTTGTGTAAACAAAACATCTGCCGACATTTAAGTACTGGGAGATTTGACCTTGAAGCTTTCCTCCTTTCCCACAAGTGACTAAGATAATTCTCTGTCCTCTAATCACTTGTAAATGTCACTTACTGATAATCCCCTGGTAGTGCAATTCAAAGCCTTTAAAGGGTTGTTGTGAAGGGTTTTTTCTTCGGAGGGTGCTTGAGGGGGGAGAATTGGTACAAACTGCCTTCGCACGTTTGGCAGTTCTTAAATGCATTTTGCTTGGCCCCTTGCAGCGTTCTGAGGCTCACGTGGTGGGAAACGTTTGTGTCTGAGCCTTGAACTGCATTTGAAAAGAGAGCTTTTAATTACGCTTGGCATTTGGAAATCTTCTAATAATGGCAGTCATCTTACAAAATATTTCCCATGCAGCAGACTTTCCATTATTATCTTTTTTTTCTATGAGGCTATTTCCCCACCTTCAGCCTGTTTTCTTTGTCACCTACTGTTGCTGTGCCCTGTTAAGCTCTAATAAAAATTTCAAATCACACGGCGTTATTAGTGCATCCTAAAGGGTGCTCCTCCCCCCCAGCCATCCTCCAGCTTCAAACTAACTTATTACACTTGGCTTGTTTCCTTGGATCAAATCCAGAGAAGGCTGTGACTATATTAGCTCCCTACCAAACTGCTCCTGAGATTGTTGCTGCCTCTGAAAGCCTCTGTGTCCTTCTGGGGTAGGGATTGTTGGGAACATCTGAGTAAATTCCTTGTGATACGACAAGGATTCTTTGAGTTTGTTTTACACAGGGCTTCATATTTGTAAAAACATTACTGGGTTGATTTCAGTTGTGCTTTGGGGATCCTTGGAAAGAACCAGAAATCTGCAGTTCCTGTTTTTTTTCTTCCTTCCCTTCTGAGGTGCTGCTGCAGTGCTGGCCAAAATTTTAATGTCCACTTACTGAGCAGAAATACAGCATTCTGCAGTCTTTTCTCCCTCTTTTTCACTGTCATGGACTGATTCTCACTGCATTCTCTACCTCTTTATAATCTAAACCCTGGGAACTTTGAAAGAGCAGCTGATGCCTGGTGGAAATGTTAAAAACTATTTTTATATTTAGCTACAGTTCTGGCTGTCAAACTTATTTTCTTCTTTTGTATTTTATTAATAGAGACGCATGTATGAAAACAGGGTTTTCTGAAGGTTGGGTTTTGGGGTTTTTTTTGCTGAAGAGAGCATCTGCTCCCTCTGCAAATTTTACACCTGAAGTCATAATCCTCTGTGACATTGTAATTGGTGGCTCTGGAAACGATTTTGATGTCATGTAAGATTATGACTTCAGGAGGAGGATAAGCAGTGGGAGCAGATGCTCTCCTAAGCAACAAAGATCCCGTTCTCATGCAACTGTCTCTAGTAATCAAATGGAAGAAACAAAATACAGAAAATGATGTGTAAGCAAAGGCTGGAGTCTTCCATGAGCCATCAGCAAGTCTTTAACCACGGGACTTCAGCAATTCCATTCTCATCCTTGCACAAATGTGCCTTGGGATGGGGTCAGGAATTGACTTGCTCTTGACTGCATTTTGTCTGCTACTCCAAGGCAGAGAGATGTGCAGTAAAATCTGTGTGTGAGCTTCAACCTGTGACTATGGCTCCAATTCACACAGCATGGCATCCTCTAAGAGTGTGCAGCTGGTGTCTCTTTAATCCAAGTTTTACACCAGCCAGCAAGTTGGAAGTTATCTATCCTTGTGCCAGAAAGAGATGAGGTGATTTGTGCTTATTTTTTTCCATTTGTTTGGAATGTCTGTGGATGCTGTGTGTGAAACATGGGGAGGAGGTGGGAAGGAGGAGGTGACAGGAGGGACCTCAAGCTTTTGTTTGCTCCCTTTCTTGAGCTGGGGCAATTGATCCTCAGGTCCCACTGAGGGTCAGTTCCTGTTGTAGGGCTGTGGTGATGGTGTTGTTAAGGATGAGAGATAGTTTTGAACAGCAAAATGGGGCCAAAGTGATTCACATTCTCCCAATTGCCTCTAAAACAGAGAAGCAATGTGAGTGGGAATGGGAAGGACCCAGGGCTGGCTATGTATCAGGAGTTTGCTGCAGAAGGTAGAGCTGGGAGGGCTTGAAAATGCAATATAGTGCAGGGCAGTCCTCTTTCAAGTGCTGGTGCATAGGAGGGTTTGGGTAACAGAAGAAGCCAGAACCTGTCTGGGGAGAACAGATTGGTTTCAGCTGTGGAATTGTACTGGAAGATGGTGAATATACAGGGTGTGGTGATGGGAGCTTGGGAATTAAATCTGCTGCATCACAGCAGTGGCTTAAAGCCTGAACTGCTTCTCAAACTGTCCCTTTTTACTGTAAAACGAGGTTAGTGTTATGGATTTCTGTTCCACTGGCCTGAAAAGAAAGGTTGTTCTGATGTCTCTTAGTCTTGTGACAGCTTTGAAGCAGACCCTGTGATGTCCAGCTTTCTGGTGAGCAGTTTCTGGTTGAAGTTTGTTACTATTTGGGACAAACTAATTCGTACATTTGAGTCATTAAAAGCCTCTGATTCAGTTCTGGCTCTTTTGCAATGAAACACAATAAGCAGAACAGGGCTCATCTGGAGCCTCATCAGCAAGCAGGAGGCTTGCAAGGGCAAGGTCTCCTCTGAGCTGTAGAGAAGACTGTAAAGATTGTTTCCCTCTGGGCAGATAAATCATTGCAGTGTTTTTCTTTATTCTTTTTCCTTCAGTGTGAGTGGGAGGGGGGAGCTCCTTTATGGTTCAGGGAGATACTCTGCACATAAGAAGGGCGTAGTGGTTAGAGTGGGAGATGTGGCTTGAGTGATCCATATCCACTTCCCTGATCTTCCTCAGGTTTCACATGTGACGTTGGTCTAGTCTCCATTTCTGTGTAAATTGCCATTTTTTTTCCCCCATCACATGGTGCTCAGCTGCTGCCACACTTCAGATAGCAGCAGATCCAATAAACACAATGTTCTCCATTTTATGCTTGGACCCAAACTTTGCTGGAGTGCTCAGCTCCAAGCACGTGTTGTCCCTGTTTAAATAACTCTTCTGTTCAAACCACTGCAGCATTAATTCCACAAACACTAAAATACCATAATTTGAGGCCTTGTGGTTGGAGGTTCAGGTGTGACCCCAGACTTGCTGCTGTGCCAAGACTTCTTTGCAGAAAAGGTAAATTTGCTTTGCCATTTTGGGCTGAGCTGCTGTGCTGGGATTGTTTCTAAATTCCTGCACAGGAATTTAGAAATCCTGTGTCCAAGGGGTTGAGCCTTCCAGGAGCTTTCCCAATCTTTTCCACAGTGTTATTTTGTGGAAGAGTCAGTAGATGGAGCTGTGACCCACGGAAGGTCCCACCATTTACCAACGGGCTGCGTGCTAAATAATCCTATTTATATGCCAGTATGTCTCTGCCCCAAAAATCCTGCGGGCAAGGAATTTGGATGACTTCAGGCTTGCACAGCTACGTGGGGTTAGCAGGCACTTCACAAATGTGCAGGAGAAGTTGCTTTCCTGGTGCTCTCCTTGCCATCAGAAAAAACAGGCTGGAAGAGGGGATGGGAAATGCTTCAGCAAATATCCCCTTGGCTTCAAGGACAGATTTTTATTTTCCACTCCGTGCCTTTAGAATTTTGTCGGTTTTAGCTGAAGTGTTTAGATAGCTCCTATCATTGTAGTGATTTCAAGGACTCTACAACATCAGACAATACAAGCCAGTGAAAAGTCCTTGGAAAAACACCTTGGAAAAAGATCAAGAAAGCTACAGTAAAATAAAAACAAATTTTTAAAAAACCCAAAGCAAAACAAAAAACCTCTGAGAACATGGCGTCATTAGGGATTCTTCATAAAGAAGGGGGAAAGTGTCAAGGTGTAGAGGTGAGCTGTGATTTATAGAAATGGAATCCAAAGGAAAAAACATGGTGCAGCTGGAGTGTGTTTTGGGGTGCTGGGTGGGCAGCTGGGCTCAGCTGTTCACGTCTCCCAAAAGTGCTGCTGTAAATTCCTGGAGTCTGAGAGCTGCTGGGAGATGGTGCAGGGGGCTGGGGCTGTGTGGGGTTGTGGAGCAGCATCCCCCCAGAGCTGTGGGGTCGGGGTGGGGATGTGGCAGTTCTCTCCTGTGCTCTCTGCCCCTGTTCCCCAGCCACACTGGTACCTCTCTCCAGCAAATGCCTTTGCAAAGCACCTGAGCAGCTCAGCCCTGGTGAGGCCACACCTTGGATCCCGGGGTCAGTTCTGGGCCCCTCAATTCAGGAAGGACATTGAGGGTTTGAAGGGTGTCCAGAGAAGAGAAGAGAGCTGGGGAAGGGTCTGGAACACAAGTCCATGGGGAGAAGGTGAGGGAGCTGTTTAGCCTGGAGAAGAGGAGGCTCAAGGGGATCCTTCTGTCTTTCCATAACTCCCTGGCAGGGGGGTGCAGCCAGGGGGATGTCAGGCTATGCTTTCAGGGAACAAGGGGCAGGACAAGAGGAAATGGTCTCTAGGTGTGCCAGGGCAGGTTTAGGTTGGATACCAGGAACAATTTCTTCACCAAAAAGGTTCTCAAGCACTGGCCAAAGCTGCCCAGGGCAGTGGTGGAATCTCCATCCCTGGAGGGATTTAAAAGCCATGAGGATGTGGCACCTGGGGACATGGCTCAGTGGTGACCACGGTAGTGCTGGGGGAATGGTTGGGCTTGGTCTTAGGGGGCTTTTCCACCCGAAACAATTCTGTGATTCTGTGACTC